CGATAGTATACCGGGTGAACGCTGGGCTTTGAGGATCCGATCTGTTCAAAAGGCGTGAGTTCGATTCAGAACGCGTCGGTCCAAAATCTTTGATAAAAGTTTGATCTCATTAAAGAGAGATAAACACAAGATTATCTCAATTTAAGATATATTCAAAAAAGGGCTTACTTTCGACAGATACTGACAAATCATATTCTATTAATTCCAACCGATTTCTCTTCAGGAAAATCGCTCAGGAAGAATCGCGTAGTAGCAGTGGCGCTGGTCGATTCGGAGCTCAAGGGCAGCAGCCACAAGCAATGTCCGGAACAACCCATAATGTACCAATAGCTCTCGATTACACGACAACACAGTCGTCAAATTACAATATTGGGGGTCACACGACCGGTGGGACTGTTATTCATACGAAACCCCTCCAGCATACATACACAACTCCCGAACATCCAGCTTCTGCTCCAGCACCCGCTCCTAGGAGCAGCCATATGATCCCAGTTCACATCAATACCGGCGGCTATACGAGTCCACCAGCAGCTGCTGTCGGTGGTCAAAAGTCGCCTTTCTCTCCGTATCGTCATCAAACTGGTAGTCAACAACAGGACTATCGCGCTCGCAGTGAAGCCTCCTACTATGAAGAAGGTTCAGTGCTTCTGAGTTTTATCTATTGCAATAGTTCTCCACAATATTATTGAAAACATCCAAAGAGGATACACATATTTCATCTTTCATTTTCTTATTGTGGAACTTTCCATGATGTGCCCAAATAACAGGAGAAGTCGCCTTTCTCTCCGTATCGTCATCAAAATGGTGATCAGTTTTGAGTTCATTATAATGGGTCTCACTTCTTCAGTCGATAAAATGATTGCGATTCCAGTTCTCCAATAGCTCTCTTGTAGAGCAATCGTTCTGCACAAAATTCTCTAGCTGAACGAGATATTCTTCAATGACTGCTTGGAAGTCTCATAGTCAGAGACTCTCTTCAAACTATGCGTGGTGATTTCAGGACCTCGAGTTCCTTTCTACCATTCTCCACGCACTCGCCGTGAACTATCGCCGAGTGCCTCTATTCCACACTTGTACGCTCATTCACGTGAAACTCCTGCCGAACAATACCTCCGTCAAACTGGCGGTCTTTTCGGCACCGAGTAAGTCACTTTCTCTCTACTCCCATCCAGTAGTACCTTATTGAATCGAAACCTCCTCGACAAAGCAGCTGACTTTTAGACGCATATATTTTGCTTCCAAAAATTTGATCGGCTCAGTTGATCAAATTGATTGATCAGATTGATCAAATTGTTACTTGAGTTCAATGCTTCTGTCCAACGCCAAAATGCTCACTAGTTTTTCGATTCAAATTCAGCGAAAGTCCGTCTGTATCCATTCAAGATCAATATAATGAGTCTCAATTCTTCAGTCAGTAAAATGATTGCGATTCCAGTATCACACTGATATAAGTTTTATGTTTTTTGTTTGCTAATAATCCACAAAGCTTCATGTTATCCATATCATAACACAACTGCATTACATGTTCAATTGAAAGACATCGGCTTATTCACGTCAATCGCTTTAAAATCTTATATCATTTGCTTGAAATATTCAGTTCACTTAATTCGCCATATCAGTTCACTTCTTTTGTTTTGTTGTTTGTTGAAGAAGCGCTATGTCATCCGAACTGATGATACTCTGTTGAAAACAAGCGGATGCTTGCTTGTTTTCTGTAGTAACTGTTCTCAAAAGCATTCCAAAGACACATATCAAGTCTACACGACCATATTTTTGACCGTTGAAACTAATTCGCTATCGCTATTGAAACGCTATTTAAACTCGCTACCAAACGTTGCAAATTATCATGACAAATCCCTTGTTCGCAAGTAGAATCGTTAGAGCCTCGGATCTGCTCTCCCAATAAATTGTCTCCTCAGAATCGCTCCAAATATTACTCCGATCAGTTCCACCAAATGAAATCGGCTTCATATCGCTGCTAAAATTTCGCTAAATATTTGACAAGGGGAGGCAGAGAATAAATCGAAAGAAGTTACTCCATTTACACCATTTCATTCATTCTGATCTCATTGATTCAATAACGTATGTAATTTAATTTTTTCCTCTATTTTTTCAACCTTCCTCACCTTCCCAGCACCAGTTTGGTCAATAAACTCGCAGTATAATAAGCTTTACACCGAACATAGCTACACACATTATTATGCGTCTAAATATCAATCATATCTATTCATAGTGAGAACAAAAATTAAGAAAACATCACAACACTGCCACCCAACTTATTTGAAGCCTAATAACTTATTAGCAAGTTCACAAGGCAGAAGGCCAGTGATGTACTCATAGCAAACATTTGATGTGTTCGAATACTATACTTGTAACCGTTCTGAAGAATATGAGTACGGTAGATTTGATTTCATTGCTTGCCAGGGTTACACCGCAAATATGTATCTACTTATCTACCTTAATGTTGGAAAAATTATGCGTTCACTTGCAGACGAAAGTTAGCGGAAGTACAAAATTCGTTGAAGTGCTAAATTTCACGAAAAAGTAGCTCGCTAAAGCGCCAATCAAAGAGAGTAGCGAAAGCTGTCGCTACAGATCACCCTATTTGGAAAAGTAGCGCGCTATCGGAAAGTAGTCGTTCCGCTAGCAGCGGAGCAGCGTTTAGCGCGTTATTGCCCTTGCCTGATTGTAAATGTATTTCTGTAATATTGCATGCAAACTGAGTGCGTTGATTGCAGTCCAAATTTGTTCAAGACAAAGGTGACACCATATTTAACATCTGAGACACGTCGAATGATCGAAGAGGAAGAACGATACAGTGGCGGTGCTCCTCATGCCTACCACCATAGTGCTTCTCCACCTGCGCAGAGTGCGAGCTTTAAAAGAATCTCTCGAGCGTGTGGCACTCCAGTTGATTGATCGATCAACTCAATTATGCTCAACTTTCTACTTTTTCAGTTTTCAATATTTCATGTCAATCAAACATTTCATTTTGTTTGAATTCATGCTCGTTAGCTCTTTTGAAACTTCTTGGTGATAAGTCGAAGCCTTGGTGTCACTCATTAAGTTAATTAGTAAATAGTGAGTCCCATCGCAAGATAATACTTGTTTAGCAATTCATTACCTGTAACCTCTTTCAAACTGCAAAGCAGTTGATTTGTATAGTTTTATAGTGGGTTCAATCCTCTTTTGAGCATATCTCTTTCGAAGATTTCAGATTCGGATTCTATCTCTTATCCTTGCATAACTGTGTATAATTTAGTGAAAGTTTATGTTGTATCAGTTGACTTCGGTGTTAATGATACCGGTTGCCGTCCAAAAGCTTGATATTTTGCATGCCATCACGGTGTCTATTATACAGAAGGTTGTATTGTCTCTTAAAGTTTTGCACTCATTTAAAGGCACTAATAAAAGTAACCGAAATCTTGCTTTGTTCAATCATTCACTCAGTTTTTCTGTACTATTTACAAGTTCCGAACAAAACTATTATATTGGACATCTTTTCAAAAACAAATAAATCTCGCTCAGATAACAAATTTCCACTCAATCCCGGAAATTGCTTGCATTTAGACATGAAAGAGCTACGAATTCACCTTCTCGTCACATTACCAACCTACAGCAATCATCACCCATCATTAAACCTGCATCGGATAAACCTGATCATCCGCTAGATCAACAGGTCAAGGGCCCGCCGGCTCCTCCTGCGATTCCGTTACCTAATACTCAAGCAATCCCAGCTCCTCCTCCACCCCCTCCCGCTGTGCTGCCCTCAAATACCACCTCGAACAGATTCACGCCAATCAAGCCGTCATCGATTCCGAGCACAATGGGTCCACAAGGAGGTAATGCTGCCGCAGGTGGGCAAGAACACCCGGTAGCACGTCCACACGAAAGTGAGTTGCGAATTTGTCTTTGTTACAAAGTTTATATCATATATAATCGGAGTTAGACTACATATAGCTCATGAGTTCTTATCACTGTAAAGTTGATTTCATGAACAATCCCCTCATTATGAATCAAATACAGTACCACGTCCAAGCAAGTGGTACCATATTCTGTCCTCAAGTGTGCCCACCAGCACAATGTTTTCTATACGGTTTCAGATTCAGCAGATTCTTTACATTCAGAAAAGTATATATATATATATTGTAGACTTTATATACTTCGTTGCTTAGTTATTGTTGAATTTCTGAAGGTGTTTCACGTAGCTGAGGGATTTCTTCATATGGTCCACTCTATACATTTGATCTGCATATTGATCAGTATCGCACTATTATGAGGATATCAGTTGCATCATATTCAAGCAATTTATATCCTTAAGTTTGTCCAGTAACACAATGATTTCTGTGCACCTTCAGATTCAGCAGATTCTCGGCTTTTAGAAAAGTATATATGTTGTCGACGTAAAATGCTCCATTGCATAGATATTGCTGAATTTCTGACAATATTTAACGTAGCTGAGCGATTTTCTTATATGGCACACTCTATAAATTTGATCTGCTGACTGATCAGTAATAGCTGACGCTCTGAATGCATCACATATTCCAATCGCTAACTAGTGGCTCTTAGTGATGTTTCTACTACAGTTAAACTGTTCTATTCCTGTTCTGTACCTGTTCTGTTCCATAGAATAGAACAGAACAGTTCGCAAATGAGGGAGGAACAGTTTGGAACAGAATAGAGCCGTTTTTGAGCCCAAAAGAACAGAATAGAACAGTTTTCAAAAAAGTGGTATAGAGACATCACTAGTCGCTCTTTCATTAACGACTTAATTTAATCTGCCCAGTTCTGTGGAACGAGAGACATGCTAACTGCGGAATCGTTTCAGTTCACGTTCAATCACAGCAATCTCCTTCGGTCGTTA